AGGCGGTGTCTGCCCCGCTGGGCGCCCACTTCGGGCCGGGCTTCGGGAAGATTCTCCTGGACAACGTGCACTGCAGCGGTGAGGAGAGCCACCTGGCCCTGTGCGCCCACGACACCTGGTTCACGCACGGCTGTGGCCACGAGGACGACGCCGGGGCCGTCTGCTCGGGTGAGGGGTCGTGTGCTCTCTCTGGGACTCGTGGGCGGAAGGGGCTCTGACAGGAAGTGGGAAGTGAGCCGGGGCCTCCTGTGGGGGCTGATGGTTCCCTCTCCACACTCGCAGGTCCTCTAGCAGCAGACGCCTTCCCGCCAGGTGAGACCCATGGGCTGTTTCTAGGCCCCGTGCTACCTCTAGTTCTGCCCGGCTAATACTTTCGGTAGAAATGGAATGAAAACGACCCTATCGAATGGAGCTTGGCGCAGTTTACAGGGGCTGGTTTGATTGGTCTATTTGACTTGAAGTCCAACCGGCTTTCCCAGTCTCTGTGTCTGCCCGCCATCACATAGAGGGCTCAGAGCTCAGATCTGTGGTGCTGACCTTGGCCTCCTGCTCTCGGGAAACCTGCTCACCCTGGCCTGACAGCCCCTCTGCGGGGCGGCTGCCTGCGGAGAGGTCCCAGGCTCCGCTTAGGGTGTGGCCTGGAGGAGAGCGCAACACTGATGAGTAACATCAGCAAAAGAGGGTTTGGAAATCAGCTAGCAGGACACAATGCCCAGGTGCAGGAACCTCCCCAGATCAGAACTGGATTACCGGGCAAGACAGGACTCTTCTGGGGCCATTGAAGGACTATAATTAATAGGCACTGGCTTTAGGATATAGTTTTCTGTGACTATGCCCATCAATCATCACAAATCACTTATTTGAGAGAAAATTGCCATTTATGTCCCAGAGTGATTAGATCAGAAAATCATCTGTCTTGAATCTGTGAGGCCTGATTTTTTTTAACAGACAGTGAAACAACACCAGTTGAAAAATTATAGTTATGCAATCTTAAAGTAACTTTGCCACTAGAAGAAACCATGGGGCTATTCCAATCCTTTCCTTTTTATCCTAACGCAGTGGGTTTTGAACGTTATTTTTCATCAGAATTACCCTGTGGGCTTATTAAAAGCGCACACTGCTGGGCCCCTCCCAGAGTTTCTAGTTCAGTAGGCCCAGAGTGGGGTGTAAGATTTGCATTTCCAACAAGTCCAGATGCTTATACTATGGTAGGGAACCACACCTTGAAAACCACTGTCTTAAAACAAAGAGGAACTTTTTTTATAATCCTGATAAGCAGAAGCAGAATTACCATCATCTTCATCATCGCCATCTTTGCCACTGTCAGCATTGTCATCATCATCATCTTCATCACCACTGTCACCATCATCATCACCATTATCATCATCATTACCACTATCATCACCATCATCACCATTGTCATCATCATCACCACTGTCATCATCATCACCATCACCATTGTTATCATCATCATCAATATCACCATCATCACCACTATCATCATCAACATCACCAATACCATCATCATCACCACTGTCACCATCATCTCCACCACTGTCATCATCATCATTACCATCATCACCATCACCACCATCATCATCATCACTACTGTCATCATCATCATCACCATTATCACCATCATTACCACTGTCATCATCAACATCATCATTGTCATCACCACGCATCACCATTATCATCATCACCACTGTCATCATCAACATCACCATTATCACCACTGTCATCATCACCATTGTCATCATTACCATTGTCAGCAGCAGCATCACCATTATCATCATCACCACTGTCATCATCAACATCACCATTATCACCACTGTCATCATCACCATTGTCATCATTACCATTGTCAGCAGCAGCATCACCATTATCATCATCATCACCATTACCATCATCTTCACCATTATCATCATCATCATTACCATTGTCATCCTTATCATCACCACCATTGTCATCATCACCATCGTCATCATCATCATCACCATTATCATCATCATCATTACCATTGTCATCCTTATCATCATCACCACTGTCATCATCATCACCACCATTGTCATCATCACTACCATTGTCATCCTTATCATCATCACCATTATCATTATCACCATTGTCATCATCACCACTGTCATCATCATCTCCACCACTGTCATACTCATCATCACCATTATCACCATCATCACCACTGTCATCATCATCATCACCATTGTCATCACCAATGTCATCATCATCATTGTCAGCAGCAGCATCACCATCATCATCATCACCACTGCCATCATCATCACCATTATCACCATCATCACCACTGTCATCATCATCATCACCATTGTCATCACCAATGTCATCATCATCATTGTCAGCAGCAGCATCACCATCATCATCATCACCACTGCCATCATCATCACCATTATCACCATCATCACCACTGTCATCATCATCATCACCATTGTCATCACCAATGTCATCATCATCATTGTCAGCAGCAGCATCACCATCATCATCATCACCACTGCCATCATCATCACCATTATCACCATCATCACCACTGTCATCATCATCATCACCATTGTCATCACCAATGTCATCATCATCATTGTCAGCAGCAGCATCACCATCATCATCATCACCACTGCCATCATCATCACCATTATCACCATCATCATCATCACTACTGTCATCATTGTCATCACCATTATCATCATCATCACCACTGTCATCATCATCACCATTATCACCATCATCACCACTGTCATCATCATCATTACCATCATCACCATCACCACCATCATCATCACCATTATCACCATTATCACCACTGTCATTATCATCATCACCATTGTCAGCAGCAGCATCACCATCATCATCATCACCACTGTCATCATCATCATTACCATCATCACCATCACCACCATCATCATCACCATTATCACCATTATCACCACTGTCATTATCATCATCACCATTGTCAGCAGCAGCATCACCATTATCATCATCACCATTGTTATCATCACCACTGTTATCATCACCACCATTGTCATCATCACCGTCATCATCATCATCATCATCATCATCCTCATCATTACCATTGTCATCATCATCATTGTCATTATCACCATTGTCATCATCACCACTGTCACCATCAACATTAACATTGTCTTCATCACCATTGTCATCATCACCACTGTCATCATCACCACCACCATTGTCATCACCGTCATCATCATCACCATTATCATCATTACCATTGTCATCATTATCATCATCACCACTGTCATCATCACCATTGTCATCACCACTGTCATCATCATCACCACTGTCATCATCAACATCACCATTATCACCACTGCTATCATCACCATTACCATTGTCAGCAGCAGCATCACCATTATCATCATCATCACCATTGTTATCATCACCACTGTTAGCATCACCACCATTGTCATCATCACCATCATCATCATCATCCTCATCATTACCATTGTCATCATCATTGTCATCACCATTGTCATCCATCATCATCTCCACCACTGTCATCACCATCATCACCATTGTCATCACCATCATCACCATTGTCATCACCATCATCACCATTGTCATCACCATCATCACCATTGTCATCACCATCATCACCATTGTCATCACCATCATCACCATTGTCATCACCATCATCACCATTGTCATCACCATCATCACCATTGTCATCACCATCATCACCATTGTCATCACCATTATCACCATCATCATCATCATCACCATTGTCATCACCACTATCATCGTCACCATTGTCAGCATCATCATCACCACTATCATCATCATCTCCACCACTGTCATCACCATCATTGTCATCACCATTGCCATCATCACCATTGTCATCATCACCACCATTGTCATCATTACCTTTGTTAACATCACCATTATCACCATCATCCTCATCACCATTGTCATCACCATTATCACCATCATCACCACTGTCACCATCAACATTAACATTGTCTTCATCACCATTGTCATCATCATCATCACTACTGTCATCATCACCACCACCATTGTCATCACCATCATCGTCATCACCATTATCATCATTACCATTGTCATCATTATCATCATCACCACTGTCACCATCAACATTAACATTGTCTTCATCACCATTGTCATCACCATCATCGTCATCACCATTATCATCATCATCACCTCTGTCACCATCATCAACATCCCCATTGTTATCATCATCACCACTGTCACCATCAACATTAACATTGTCTTCATCACCATTGTCATCACCATCATCGTCATCACCATTATCATCATCATCACCTCTGTCACCATCATCAACATCCCCATTGTTATCATCATCACCACTGTCACCATCAACATTAACATTGTCTTCATCACCATTGTCATCACCATCATCGTCATCACCATTATCACCATCATCATCATCATTACTACTGTCATCATCATCATCACCATTATCACCATCATCATCACCACTGTCACCATCATCAACATCCCCATTGTTATCATCATCACCATTATCATCATCATCACCACTGTCACCATCATCAACATTACCATTGTTATCATCATCACCACTGTCATCTCCATTGTCATCATCACCATCACCACCGTCATCATCATCTCCACCACTGTCACCATCATCAATGCCATCATTATCAGCAGCATTGTTACCAGCAGCAGCACTGTTATCAGCAGAAACTAGTTTACCTGGTAAGTTAAACTTTGTACTTGTGAATCACTTTCTTGGCTATTTTTAGTTTGTGTGTTTTTGTGGTTATGTATATAGAGAGCTAAGCACTCAAACAAGAATATTTTAGGTAAATTATTAAGATATCTGCCAACATCTGGTATTATGCAGACAGACAGGTCTCTGTGGAGGAATTAATTTTCCATTTACAGCTAAGAGGCTGAGGTTGCATCCATGGCCTTCTCTTCACCTGGCCCAGATCAGGACACTGGCGTTCAGGTGCATGTGGCAGAATAAGAATTAGATTCCAGAATTGAATAATCATGTCTTTTGGCTGGAAGGTCACGACGCTCTTTAGAACTTTCTCATATTATTCTTCCCATTCAATGCATATTTATTGAATACATTCCAGCATTATCAGTTTGTAGATGCTGCTTTCATTTCCTTCAGCTTCCTCAAATATGATGTTCTTAAGTTTCCTATTTTTTAAAGATTTATTTCTACTGGGCCAAGAATTCAAGGGTCCCTTTACCATGAACATAATATAGATGAATAAAAAGTTAAGCAGTCTTGTTTGATGGTGCTGATGGTGACTTCCTTAGATGAATTGAAAGAAAACCGAAAGCTTCAGAGCGTCTTGTAATGCAATGTCCACTTGTTCTTTCCCCACTGCGGACAGTGACCCACTCTGTTGTTCTTTCTAGGGGATGACTTCTCCGAGCCTTCACTGACCACAGCCCCGGAGGCCCGGACACCTCCACCTGCAGGTATGGGAACCAGTTCCTGAGTCCATACGACCTCCCTGTCCTCTTCTAATTCCAAATTCCCAGAAAATCTGGCCTGATTCAGCACAGGGCCTGGTTCCTCTGAAGTCAGACGTACACTCGAGTTGACTGGGCAGCCTCAGTCATGGGGCACATGGCACTGGCCCTGTGCCCCCTCCTGGCTTCGGGTAGGACAGGTCATCTAAGAAAGGGATATGGGTAAAGAAGACATGTACGAGTTATCTCTTGTCACGTAAAACCACCCCAAACACAGTGGCTTAGGACAGCACCATTTGTAATAGCCCGTGAGTCTGGGGGTCAGCTGGGCTGCCTTGCAGATCTGGGGTAGGCTTGGCTGGTGTTGGCTGATCTCGGCGGGGCTCCCACATGCATTTCAGGTTAGCTGGCAGGTCGGTGGAAGACCGTCTGGCCTAGGATGGCCTCCCTCACAGGCCTTACATTTCCATAGCTGTTATCTGAGGTGACAGAGGTGACAAGGTCATGTGTCTTTCATCTCCCAGCCCCCTGGCTCAGGCTTATTCTCATGATTGTCCCAAAGTTTCCATGGAGCCCAGGGGAGCCTGTCACCCCTCTCAGACTCAGCTCAGCATGGCTTTTGGTGGGACAGGTTATATGCATCATTAGTCCTGCTACATTCTATTGGCAAAGCGAGTCACGAGCCAACAGCCCAGAGTGAAGGCGTAGGAAATGAGAGGGGAGCTGCAATGTCGCATCGTGCAGAGCAAAGCTATGAGGAAGAGAAAAACTGGGGCCGCTGGTGTGAAGGACCGACCCCCGGCGAGCTGTCTTCAACGGGGTGAGGGAGAGGAGGGTGTTAGGGCTCCTTCGAGCGTGGATCTCTCCTGGCAGCCGGAAGGGTGTGAGTTGCAAAGTCATGGAATGCAAGGAAGGCTAGGCCGGGTAGAAGCCAGTCCAGCCATCAACAGGCAAAGGGCGCTGTTCTCACCCCGTGTCCCCTACTCTTCCCAGGAGGCTGGGCCCCCATGAGGCTGGTGGGCAGCCGGGGGAGCTGCGCGGGCCGCGTGGAACTCTTCTACCAGGGCATCTGGGGGACCGTGTGCGACGACCTCTGGGACCTGCCACAAGCCAACGTCGTCTGCAGGCAGCTGGGGTGTGGCCGGGCCGTTTCAGCGCCCGGCGAGGCCCACTTTGGGGAAGGTTCTGGCAAGATCCTGCTGGACGACGTGCGCTGCAGGGGCGACGAGGGGCGCCTGGAGGAGTGTGCCCACCTCGGCTGGCTCTCCCACAACTGCGGGCACGGGGAAGACGCGGGCGTGGTCTGCTCAGGTAACCCCGCCCCTGCCAGGCCGAGTGGCTTGGGATCCTCCCAGGCAGAACCTACAAAAGACAGGGTAAGAACTCACACAGCCACTCTCATCTCTGCCTACAGATGCTGCACACACGGCGGGCACGCCACCAGGTAGGGAGGGCGCTGGCGCCAAGGGCAGCGTGCCCACCCCTCGGGGCAGAGGCTCTGCTGGAATTGGGTGTCCCTTACTCTCCTGTGGGGTTGGGGGGGCCTAGCCCAGAGCCCCTGAATGTCCGTGGTGAGGTGGAGCGTACCTTAGGCTCACGTCCGCCTCTCCTCCACTCCACTGCGCACACCACACGCAGGCAGCAGGCTCTAACTCTCGGCTCCCGCACAGCAGGCATAGCCCGTCATTCTGAGGGCACGAGGGGACGGCAATGAGACTCGGGTAGGGGGTTAAGATCAGAGAGGCAGAGCCCGGCCCACCTGGCTCCGTGGTTGAGCGCCCACCTATGAACCAGGAGGTCAGGGTTCGATTCCCGGTCAGGGCACAGGCCCAGGTTGCGGGCTTGATCCCCAATGTGGGCGTGCAGGAGGCAGCCCATCCATAATTCTCTCTCATCATTGATGTTTCTCTCTCTCTCCTGCTCTCTTCCTCTCTGACATCAATAATAATTTTTAAACAAAGACTTGAGAGGCAGTTAAGGACACTTCCCGCCCAGGGGCAGGTGGCTGGTGGGAAAGACCTGGCCAAGGTCAGGCACCCCCATTCCGTCCCCCTCTCCTCGCCTCTGCCTCGCCCGGTACAGCCCGGCCCCACGGAGCTCCGTGCTCTGGTTCCCCCACTGCTCTCCGCGCCGGCACCCAGAGATGCCAGGTGCCAGCTCTCCTTCACCAAACCCGTCCCTGCGCCCGCCTTCAGCCAGCTCCGCTCGGTGTCGCGCGTCAGGCTAAGGGGACGAGGTCTAGCGACCCTCAGTCCCGCCCTCGGGGTGGTCGGCTCTAGCAGGCAGGGTGGCCTGGTCCTGGGAGAGAATCTCCAGTGGGAAGTTCTGGGCCAGCTGCCGCTGGTCGGAGAGGCGTCGGGGCGGGAAGGAGGGTCCGAGCATCCTTGGTCCCGGCTCCTGGCCCCTGAGCAGCAGGTGGAAGGGAGCAGCGCATCGGTGCCTCTTGCTGTTCGTCCATCGAAGCCGCGTAGCTCCAGACCCCAGGGTCCCTGGAATTGGCGACAGGAGCCAGCATCTCGCATCTTTCATTTTCTTAAACCCGATTTAAACATAGCTCATTTGTGTGTGTGAGGAGGGAAGGCTGCGCCAGTGTCGGGGGAGGTTCTAAACCGGTGCCTCTTCCCTCCCCACACCAGCATCTGTCCCGGCGCTGGCTCACCCCCAGACGGGCTCCGTGGCTCTGGGAGGGGCCCAGGTAGCGTGGGCCTCATGCCCGCTGACAGTCCATGTGCCCTTGGTGTTTGACAGGTCGCCCGTCGGCTGCCATGGCAGGGACGGCCACTGCAGGTGAGACCTTGGGTGTGAATGGTCTGAATTTGGAAAGAAAAGATGAAATGTGTGAACTATAACATGAGTGAACTGAATGATGGAGAGTGGAGATCCTGAAACCCTCTCCTGCCTTTAGAGAAACCTCGGTGCGGCGGCGTCATCACTAACTCGTCAGGCGCCGTGAGGAACCCGCCACGGAGTGACATGCACGACAACGTGACCTGCGTGTGGGAGATCCGGGCCAACGCATCCGACCACGTGCTGCTGGCCTTTCCCTACCTGAAGTAGGTCCCGGCGTCACCGAAGCCGCAGCGCGGCCTAAAATGCCAACATGGACTTCCCTGGTTGGTTCCCACAACTAAGTCTCCTCCGTGTCTCTAAGTTTTAGTCCAAAATAATCAAAAATAATGAGAGTCCCAGGTACCTCCCCCAGCTTCCCCTATCGGTGGCCTCTTAATGTAACTGCAGAGCAATATCAGAAGCATGAACTTGACGTGAGTACAACACTGTTAGCTCGACTACAGACCTCTTATTCAGTGGTCACCATTTTCACATGCATGTGTACGCACGTGTGTTCATGTGTGTGTGCACGTTGTATGTGTGCACATGTCTGTGTGTGCACGCATGTGTACATGTGTATGTGTGTGTGACAGAGGCGAAGATTAAGACACAGAGTGCCTGTATTTCAGCCTCTGGTTAAAGATGCAGATTCCAGGGGACCCAAACCTCAGAAATGAGAAATTTTCCGATTTTAATGTCGTAGTCAAGGTTGACGTCCTTCACAGATCGATGTCTTAAGCAGACTGCCCCCCAGAAGCAACTTAAATTGTTTATTACCCTTGAATTTGCTTAACCAAAATATGAGTTGGGAAGGAGGCTCAGGGGCCGAGGCATGGACACGGGTTTCTGACGAGAGCACCAGAGGCATCTGGACAAAGCTTGACAACGGGGAGCAGCTGACCAGTCAGATCGCTCCCACAAGGCGAGCTGGGCGGGGTGGGACCTCCCTCCCTCCAGGCTCATAAATGGCTGGACTGGACCTGGGAGCCGTGTCTACGCAGGCAGACCCAGCAGCCTCTGCCCGCGTCTGCCCAGCAGATCCATGGCCTTGGTTCGCCCAGCCCTGCCCTGGGCCCGGGGCTTCGAGGCACCGCGTCCTCAGGGCACACCTAGAGCTTCGGCCGCCTCTCTCCAGTCCCAGTTAAAGCCCCACTCCTCCTTAAGGGAAAAGTGAGATAAAAGGAATGCATCCTTCATTTGAAGGCCAGCGTTTCATCCATCTGCGGCCTCTTTAGAGTCACAACATAAGGGCCTGCCTCCCAGCACACCCACAGGGCTGCCGCCAGGGGCCTGAGGCGCCATCCGCTTCCTTGCAGCCTGGACTGCACCAACGAATACTTTGACATCCTGGACGGCCCCCCGTCCTCAGCCACGTCCCTGGGGAGGACCTGCTCTGGCTTCTACCTCACCTACGAGTCCTCCTCCAGCTCCATGACCCTCAAGTACTTCCGGAGCTCCAACAAGATCGGGAAGGTCTTCATTGCGTATTATTACTCCGAAGCCAAAGGTAAGAGGTGGTAAGCGCGAGCGCCGGGAGCGGGCCTGTCCGCCTGGGGAGCAGTGACTGTCCCATCGCTGCGCTGGGACCTTGGGCGGCAGACTCGGCCTCTGCGCCCCCCCACCCCCCCAGAATGGGGATGATCAGATGACCCCACTTCCAGGCCTGTTGTGTGGGGACTGACGCAGGTAAGGCACTTGTTATGGGGCGTCATGAGTGCTCGGTGATTGGCAGCTACCTGGTGGCCGTTCAGTCTCCTCGCAGGCTCACCGGAAGCCATTTCTGAGTCCCTCTGGGTCCCGCCCCGGGCGGGCGTGTTAGGACCTGCAGGGGGGTGTGGCCCCAGCCCGGGAGACAGAGGGCCTTCAAGACCAGCACGGGCAACACAATTAGACGGCAAGTAGGATACAGTACATTCAGGCCAGCAAATAGAATGGGCTAAGTTAGTGTGTGCGTGCGTCTCAGGCAGGGCACCAGGAGAGAGAGAGGCCGGTGTCGGCTCCAGCAACGTGTTCAGGAAAATACAGAGAACAGCCTGAGGGTTGTCTTTATTTATTTTTAATATTTTTATTGATGTCAGAGAGGAAGGGAGAGGGAGAGAGAGATAGAAACATCAATGATGAGAGAGATTTATTGATCAGCTGCCTCCTCGCCCCCTACTACTGGGGATGGAGCCTGCAACCCGGGCACATGCCCTGACCGGGAATCAAACCGTGACCTCCTGGTTCATAGCTCGACGCTCAGCCACTGAGCCACGTCGGCCGGGCTTAGGTTTGTCTTTAAACCTGATGAGGCTGTGAGCAGAGAAGCAGGAGGGCCAGCAGGTGAGAGGCCGCGGGAGCACAGGTGGAATGGGCGAGGCGTGGTGCGGAGGCCGCCAGGGGCTGGACCGAGGGTCCTGATGAACCGCATGTGCCGAGGTTGGGGGGTGGCAGCAGCCGTGATCGGAGGAACAGCTGGCGTCGACCGGACGCCTCTTTTGAGCCGGGCAACACCCTGAGCACTTTGCGTGTGCTGCCTCCTCCGATCCTCACGCAAACCCCTGGTTCTTCCCCTTTGACAGGAGAGGAAACCGAGGCTGGAGAGGGTCAGTCATGCCCCGCGGCCTCCCAGCGATGGGCCCTGCACTAGTGACCCCTGGGAGGGGCTGAGCTCAGGGACGGTCTTTCAGCCTCCACCTCGGCCGACACGCCGCTCAACACAGCCTCCTGCTAGCAAGCGCCCGGCTCCCCGCCGAGCTGGCCTGGGAGCTGCTCTGTGTCACAAGTAGATCAGGGAAGTCGCCGCAATTGACGTGACACGGTTGCTGATTGACGGTTTAATTTTAGAGAGAGACACACTTGTTGGTCCGTTTATTCGTGCGCTCATGCTGACTCCTGTCTGTGCCCTGGCCGGGGTCTCACCTGTGACCTTGGCGTGTCGGGATGGCGCTCTCACCACGGAGCGGCCGGCCAGGGCGACATTGGACGGTTATTGATGATGGTTTCCTTGTGTTTGCAGAGCCGGTTGCACAGACCCCCCAGCTCATCGGTGAGTCCTGTCTACTGTTGTTACTTAACCTTTGCTCCTAGTTCCGAGTCTGCCTCTGTCCCCACCCCTGGCGCAGTTACTGTCATAATCCGATTCCTTTCACTCATATCTGCTAATCGCCTGCACATAGCTACCACAGCTGAGAGGTCTGTCCACACGCATTTGCACACGTATGATGCTCACTCACAGTGGAACAAGGCTACACATATCGACCACCGGGTCCCTGCATGTTGACCGTCCTTGATTTGGTTTCCTGTCAAAAGCAGTGAAACACACCTCACCAGACACTCCACGTTAGGGAAAGTGGAGACCACAACAGAAGCAGCAGCACCGATTGTGGGTGCCTCCAGCACAGAACGGCGCGATTTAACTGTCATATGTCCAGGGACGGGGCAGGAAAAGGGAGGATTACTGCTGTTGGATCCCACACATCTGAGAAACATCAAGACCCCCATGTAAAGAAAGTTCGATCTCAGAGGTTACTTCTTTTTAAAAAATACATTTATTATTGATTTGAGAGAGGAAGGGAGAGGGGGAGAGAGAGAAACATCAATAATGAGAGAGAGTCACCAATTGGCTGCCCCCTGCACGCCCCACACTGAGGACTGAGCCCACAACCCGGGCCTGTGCCCTGACTGGGAATCGAACCCTGACCTCCTGGTTCAAAGGTGGACGCTCACCCACTGAGCCAGGCCGGCCGGGTGGAGGTCACTTCTTGTAGAGAAGACAGGGAGAGTGACTCTGCCGGCATCTGGCATGGAGAGCTGTCTCGGAATGCTGCCTTCTTGTCTCGTCCACGTTCTCCCTTTTTATTTAAGGAGGTTTTCTTGTATCCACAGCCATCCCAGCAGCAACACCCACGATGGTGACAACAAGGCCAGGTAAGCCCTGAGTGCACCCACCCGTGACCAGGTGCCTTTCCTCCCGGTTCCCGCCTTTGTACCTGCTTCCTGGGCAGAAACTGGACCAACTGCACGTGGTTCGTCTATTTGCAAATGGGCCAGGTGACTGTTTTCAAACTCTGCAGGGCCGTTCAAAACCACTGGCCACGTTTAGCTCTCGCATCCAGGGGGAGCAGAGTTCGTTTTTTCAGAGCCTTTCGAAGTCTTCAAACCCTGAGCGGGTTCCCGGCCTTCTAGGGGGATCCTATCTTCCCTTTCTGTGGCCACGTGTGGTCATAGTTGACACACCTCCACGTCACTAGTGACATTCTAAGGGGAACGGAGCGTCAGACATCCTGGAGGCAGTGAGACAGAGCAGCAGGGAAGACAGAAAAGCAGTGACCTTTGGAATGAGACCTGCATTTAGATCTATTACTTACCAGGCGTGAGATTGGGGGCGAGCCACTTCGCCTCAACTATCAGTTTCCTCGTAGATAAAGTCGGTAAATGATGTTCTTCCTGAGTTACTACAAAGGTGAACACACACACACACACACGCACGCACACGCACGTGCATGAACACGCGCACACACGCACATGCACACACACACGCACATGAACACACACGCGCGCGCACGCACACGCACACGCACGCGCATGAATACACACACACAGCACCTCACAAAACCACAGATCACAGTGCACATTGTTCATAACATTCTTCTGCATTTACCCCGAGTGGCCCAATAACTTCAGTTAGTAGACAGTTTTAAAATATGTTTTTATTGATTTCAGAGAGAAAGGGAGAGGGAGAGAGAGATAGAAACATCAACAATGAGAGAGAATCATGGATCGGCTGCCTCCTGCACTCCCCACACTGGGGATCGAGCCTGCAACCCGGGCCTGTGCCCCAACCAGGAATGGAACTGTGACCTCCGGGTTATAGGTCGATGCTCAGCTGCTGAGCCACGCTGGCCGGGCTGGGCTAAGTGGCATTTGACAATCCTAATGATTTATCAAACCCGGGAGGTTGACCAGTTGACTGACCTCTTGCCAAGTCCTCCATCCCTGGTGGTGGTGCAGGGCCAGGAGCCCAACCAGCTCATGGGGAGTGTGCAGCATCCCCGATGGCAGTTGTCACCAGGTCTCTGTCCACAGGGGACTGGCCGGAGCTGCGGCTGGCGGGCGGCTCCGGCCCATGCTCGGGGCGCGTGGAGGTCCTCCATCAGGGGGCCTGGGGCACCGTGTGTGACGACCTGTGGGACCTGAACGAGGCTGAGGTTGTGTGCCGGCAGTTGGGCTGCGGCAAGGCCGTCGCTGCCCTGGGGAAGGCCCACTTCGGCCCGGGCTCCGGGGAGATCCTCCTGGACAACATCCAGTGCTCGGGGGCGGAGCGCCACCTGGGCCAATGCGTGCACTCGGGCTGGGCGGAGCACAACTGCAGCCACCATGAGGATGCCGGCGTCACCTGCTCTGGTAGCCCCTCCCCTCTCAGACAATCCTTTCAGGTGTTGTAGGTGAAGGCATGTGAAACCATGCATCCCAGATAGAATGTCATCCATCCCTCCATCCCTCTATCCCTTCATCCCTCCATTCATCCATCCATCTTCCCTTCATCCCTCCCTCCATCCCTTCATCCCTCCATCCCTTCATCCCTCCATCCATCCATCCATCCATCCTTCCATCCCTCCATCCATCCATCCATCTTCCCTTCATCCCTCCCTCCATCCCTCCATCCATCCATCCATCCCTTCATCCATCCATCCATCCCTCCATCCCTCCATCCCTTCATCCATCCATCCATCCATCCATCCATCCTTCCATCCCTCCATCCATCCTTCCATCCCTCCATCTCCTCCCTCCATCCCTCCATTCCTCCCTCCATTTCTCCATCCCTCCCTCCATTTCTCCATCCCTCCCTCCATCCCTCCCTCCATCCCTCCATCCATCTATCCATCCATCCATCCTTCCATCCCTCCCTCCATCCCTCCATCCATCCCTCCCTCCATCCATCCATCCCTCCATCCCTCCATTCATCCATCCATCCATCCATCCGTCCATCCTTCCGTCCCTCCATCCATCCTTCCCTCCCTCCTTCCCTCCATCCCTCCATCCATATGCTCATTCTTTCATCACACAATCCTCAAGCTTCTCCCTGGCCCTGGGCTCAGACACACACCTTGCCAAGGGGGGGGGGGGGGGGGGGGGGGGCGTCTCGAATGTTCGAGTGCACCTGCCCCACCAGGGCATGGCAATGCAGGATGCAGGATCCTGACCCTGGAGGTGATGACTAACTCGGTTTGAGAAGGGGCTCTGGAGTCTGCATTTTAACACATATCCCAGGTGATTCATGATTAGAGGAGACAGGCAATCCAGCCCTGAGTCCCCTGCCCGCCGAGACCAAGGACCCTGCCAGAGGAGGCTGGACTGGCCAGGGGCAGGTCTGGTGTTCTGGTCTCCGAAAGACCATGGTCCCTTCCCCTTTGTCCCCCACCCATGCCCGTCCCCCATGTCCTCCACGCTTCGGATTCACTAATGAGAGAGACCTCTTCTCATTACGCTCCCAGATGCAGAAGACCTGCCTCCTCCCACACCTCCAGGTATGTCCATGTCTTTCTAGTCCAAGCAACTTTGATAATAATAATAATAATAATAATGATAATAATAATAATATCAAATTCGGATGAATGTTGAGAACCACACACTGCTCTGAGCTCTTTGCATTTATAACTCATTTAATCCCCACAGCAACCCTTGAGGTAAGGACTTTGATTATTCCCATTTTTCAGATAGGTACATTGAGACAAGAAAGTTAGTAATGTACCCAGGACTCGCCAGTGGATTTGAACTCAAGCTGTTGCTCTCTTGGGCACCAATCTCATTGAACACACTGCCCATCAGCCCCTGCTACACAAAGACCAGACAAAACCGGAGCAGAGAGGGAGCGACGTTTTGCTCAGATTACTGGTTGCCCCCAGGACAATCCTGCAAAAAGGGATTCGCTATTGTATTTCACAGAAGAGAAGTTTGAGGCTCGGAAAGGTTAAGTAACTTTCCCGAGATCACTCAGGAATTTAATGGTGGAACCAGCCTGACCCCTACGTACACGCTCTTGGGGACCTTGTGACTTCCGCCTGTTTTCACAGACCTTATAACTTACTGATTGAATGATATTCGTGTGTAATAAAAACCAAAGTTTAGCCCGGCCAGTGTGGCTTAGCGGTTGAGTGTCAGGGCACATGCCCGGGTTGTGCGCTTGATCCCCAGTAGAGGGCGTGCAGGAGGCAGCCAATTCATGATTCTCTCTCATCATTGATGTTTCTCTCTCTCTCTCCCTTTCCCTTCCTCTCTGAAATAAATTTAAAAAGTAAAAAATAAAGCATCCACATGTTAAATAGTCAACATTTGGAAAACACACACACAAAGGTGAGAAAAGCCAGGCCCGCACATGCGGTGTGAATCCTGAGGGGGCGCTGGAGGTGAAAGAGGAGGCACTTCATTTCATTGCAAGGACAGTCTGGGCCGCTGGGCCGCAGGCATCCTGCCGGGTCTGCGTGAGTGAGTTCACCTCCTCTTCCCGGCTGAGGACTGGGGCGACCGGAAGCTGCCGGAGCAGCGGAGCTGGAAGGGTCGAGCTCCGTCTCCTGCTCTTTGAAGGCGCCCGCTGTGCCCACAGAGCCTCAGACAACACACGCAGGTCACCAGTCACTGGCGTGTTCCGGGCGCTCCTGGGGACGCGGCTTCATGTCGTGACTGAGGGGGTAGGGCTGTCTGATGTCAAAGGGCCCAGGTGAGGGTCAAGGGCACAGACATGCAAATGCACGTTTGCCTGTGGTTCTCTCGTGTCATGTAACTCAGCTCAGCTTGAACGTCCGTGGGTGACAGGGATGGAGGAGCCCGTGTGGGGAGAGAGGAGCCGTCTGTCATCACAGTTATCACCCCTTGTTTTCCTTCTAGGTGGTTCCACGGCGTCTCAGGATCACATAACAGGTAATCGCTCGTTTACATTGAAATGGAAACTCCATCTGACTCATCAGAATGAGACCCAAAGGACGCGCCTTCCCAGGAGGCCTTTGGGCTGAAGGTCTGGGCAGAAGGCCTCGTGTGTGCCCACCAGGGGGCACTGCTGCCCACGGCACCCACCGGGGGTGGGGCCAGGTCATTGCCGTTACACAGGTGTCCCCTGTTGTTGCAGGAGGAAGTCGCTCCTGCGGAGGGGTGCTGACCAGGCTCCCCGGCTCGTTTTCCAGCCCCCGGTACCCGGAGAACTACCCAACCGACACCCAGTGCGTCTGGGAGGTCCACGTGGATAAAACATCCCGCATCAAACTCATGATTCCGAGCCTGAAGTAAGGACACAGCCTTGAACACGCCTGTGACCCAGGCGTGACCACCAGCCTCGCTCGTTCCTCAAAGGGAACAAGAGCGCTGGTCACGTCTGAGAAAGGGAGTCGATATGTCACATGTCCGTGCGCAATGTAAACCATGACCCCGACGAGGAATCCCGGGACTGTCCTACTGTGTGCGCTTTCCGGTCAGGGCGGCCCCAGCGAGGTGCTAACTCTCCGCTTTGCCCCCACCCCAGCCTGGAAGACATCCCGGGGTGCCCCTTCGACTCGGTGGAGATCTTCGACGGGCCCAGGATCGCCTCGCTCTCCCTGGGCCGGTTCTGCGCCCCGGGAGCTCTGCTGGTCTTCTCCTCCTCCGACGTCATGACCGTGGTCTTCCGGAGCGACTTTGTGGTCACCAACGCCGGCTTCTACGCTCTGTTCGACGTGATTCCGCCGGATGAGGGTGAGCCAGGTAGGAGGCCCCGGTAGTTCTGAAAAGACAGGACAGCCCTGGCCGTTTGGGCTCAGGGGTTGATTCTAGTCAAGGGGTTCAAGGGCACGAACCCCGGTTGCAGACTCCATCCCCAGCCCCTACAGGAGGCAACCAATCGATGTTTCTCTCTCTGTCTCTCCCCCTCCCTTCCACTCTGTCTAGAAATCAATGGGAGACATATCCTCAGGTGAGGATTTAAAAAAAAAAGACAGAACAGTTTTCTAATTGGAGGGACTTCCCTATCAGCAGATGCCTGGGATGCAGTTTTGTTTAAGAATTAAAGGAATTTTTAAAATATATATTTATTGACTTCAGAGCAGAAGGCAGAGGGAGAGAGAGAGAAACATGAATGATGAGAGAGAATCATGGATCGGCTGCCTCCTGCACACCTCCTACTGGGGATCGAGCCTGCAACCCGGGCCTGTGCCCTGACCAGGAGTCAAGCCGTGACCTCCTGGTTCCTAGGTCAACAACCACTGAGCCACACCAGCCGGGCCTGGGGTTCAGTGTTAGAAGACGCTCAGCCTTAGTCCCAGGGCTCTGCCCTGCCGCCGCTGGCTTTCCCACCAAGAGTGCCAGCTGGGCAGGTGAAGCGAGAGGACCATGCACAGCCTGTGTGTGAAGGCGGCTGCGCCTCCTCCCTGACCAGCGGGGGCTGGAGGCGCTGTCCCCGCACCCTCGCTGCCCCGGGCGGAGGCTGG